CTGTCTATCAGCCCTCAATATCGTGTTATTCTCTAAATAATATCTTATTGCTCACGTGTTTACTGACATACAGGACAAATATATTGTATCTCCCCTTCATGTAAAGTGTAGTCTGTCATTTGTTTTAATGTAACAGGCCATCAAGAACCTATGTGAATATGTGTGCAGCGTAAAAATACTTAGTGTGAAGTTCCTTGTTACAGTCTTGAATTTCTCCTCAACAGTTTCATCAGAAGATACAGTGGCTGCAGAAAGAATTCAGACCAGATCACTTTTGTAGTTTTAGGTTTAATTTGAAATGGATGAAATTTTTTTTCCCATCAATGTACACTCAATAACCCATAACCCACGCCCAGCCTTGAAAGTGAGACATCTATAAATGTTTCACATGTAGTTGTAGGTAGTTTATGATACAAAATAGCAAGAAAATTTGTGTTGTCTTTGTACTCTGGGAAGCACTGCAGAATATTGATAGGCATTCAACTGAGAAATGTAATCAGATACACAACCAGATGAGTGCCGCAGGTCCTCAGGGCGTTATCTATGACAGGACTCTCATTAACTTCTTTTGCAAAACACAATGAACAACATACTGAGGCATTCTTCATCCTTATGTGATACTATTAAGTTTGATACATGAAGAAAACTAACTTTGAAATGTTTACTATAACGTTGGAAAACCTTTCTGGGGCTCAAACCATTTTGATAAGAATTTTCGTATCTCTTTGGACTGCGCACCATAAATAATTGGGTTGAGGCCGCTCGGGATGATGTGAAACAAAATGCTAGAAATTTTTCTGTACTCTGCGTACTGTGGGAAGCGATGCAGAATAATAACACACAGTCCACTGAGCAACATAATCAGATACACAACCAGATGAGTGCTGCAGGTCTTCAAGGCTTTACTGTTCAAAGACTTGTTCTTACTGGTCAGACAGACTACAGTAATCTTGGTATAGGTGAGAACCATGCTGCCTATAGACCCTGTAAACAGGACTACAGTGAAAGTGAGGCCATACACATTATTGATGAACACACTCTCACAGGAGAGTTTGAACAGTCCAGCATTGCTACAATAAAGGCCTCTGATCATTGTCCTGCATCGGTTCAGTCTTATGGTCAGACCGACCATAATCCCGACCAGAACAAAGGCCACTCCCCAGGCAGAAACTGTCAGCTTCACCAACATTTTGTTGGTCATTATGGCAGCGTAACGCAGGGGATTGCAGATGGCCACATATCTGTCAAAGGCCATAATCATAAGCACAGTGTGAGCAGTGGTATTGGACATATGTATGGTGAAAGCTTGGATCACACATTCATAATAACTGATGAGACGTTCAGAGGGAGGATACAACATGTCTACAAGCAAACGAGGCAAAAAGATAGAGTTTCCAAGTATGTCATTGATTGACAGGTTCCAAAACAAGAGATACATAGGCTGGTGAAGGTTTTTGTCCAGAAAAACAAGAACAACAATGCCACCATTCACAACAATTATAAACAAGTATGAGAGAAATATGAAAAGAAACACAGTGTAGACATAATCCTCTGAGACATTTAACCCTTCCAGCTGGAGTGTGAAGCTGTTGTAGGTGTAGTTTTCCATCAACCTGAAAAAAGCAGATACCAATGAATATGCTATACATTACATTACTACACGGTTTGATTGTGATCAGATGTATATATTTACTACATGAAAAGTAAATAAAATTGATAGCTTTGCCATATATCTTTTCTTCTCCTTCTCCATGGCTAGTCTTAATGGTCAGGGTTAAAGACAGACCTGCTGCTGTGGGAGAGTAGGGATGAATATCACACACTGTGAAAGTCCCAAAATGTGAACAGGAGGGCAAAATAACTCTTAATCCACACTGAGTGTACAAACACGCACACATATGTTATTTCTACAAATCATCATAAAGACACTGAAAGCAGATTCAAGTGAATGTGCCATACATTACATTACTATGGAGTTTGACCGTGATTAGAAGTTCTACCTACTGTGATTGTTTCTGGTTTCAGTCTCTTGTCTTCCCTTACTTGTGTCTCCCTGCTCATTGTTGATAATATCCACCAGCTCCAATCAGGATCTCCTTTGTTGTAAGGTTTTATAAACATGATCTTATCTTCAGGGGAATCAGTTACCTTTACATCAGATAATGTGTGATGCAACCTTAATAAACGATTATGCTGCAACACACAACTTTTAGCTCTGAGACAAAAAAGAGTAACGTTGTCTTTCACCCTATTCACTCTTCCTTCCACCAAAACTTTTCACTTATCTTGACAGTTAACGTTTAGGTGTCAAGCAATCACAAGTCATCGATTATTCAGTGTGTAATGACGAGATACTCCATTCTCGCCCATATACAGTACTATATTTTTATCATTATATAATCACAAATAAAAATAGCAATTTCTTATAATATTTCAATCAATACACAAATCAATTATTAATGCTAACACATACAATAAGTAGCCTTACTATCAACCAGCATCCCACAGCCAGAAGAAGCATCCACAGCCTGTATCATCTGACCAAAGTTCAGAAAGGATCTGGTCCTGAAGCCCCGGACAGTAACTTTGGGTATTCTTTGGTATATGGGAAGTACTTTGGAAAAATCATCTCAGTCAATGTTTGGCAGAATGTGAAAGGCTGTGACATTTTGTTGTCATGCCTACCAACCTAAAAAAAAGACACTGTACAAAAATTTTGTTAATTCTTTCTTTTGCCACAACCCCAGAGCCTTTCCTATGCTGGGCAGATTTTCTCATCATGAGGCTAAGTCCACAATAATCTGTTTTAATTTTAAAATGATGTTTTCAAATGAAAATTAGCTCCCTACAGACGACAGTTTTTGCTCCATATCGGAAATTATCTCCATCTATAATATCACACCTGAAAATGCATACATACATTAGCAATCATGTACATTTGGTATGCGCAGCGTAATGAGGAAGCTTATTGTTTTGTCTGCAGTTCAGTAGTTGCAAAAAATACTACGAATGAGAAACAGCAAAGAGTTAACATGCAAAATGCAGAACTGCACAAAAGCTGTTACCAAAGACAACAATGTCATTAACTCTTGTAATTTATTATCCATGTTGCTTTCACCAGTTGTAGTTGAGGCAGATAATACCCAATCAAGGAGTGACCGTGGATGTCCACGTCATTGTTACGAAAGGTTTTAAATGTCCAGATTATAACACAACCCCACAATTTTCAAACTAAAACGGAACCATTAGCGTTTCTAAAAGTCTCAATTGTCTGTACTAGAAAATTCTGCAATAGTGTGGACAGGAGGCGAAAACGTAGCAAAACCAAATGTAGTAGTGTTGACAAGGTTTTAGGGAAATGTGAAAAGACATCACCCAAGTCAGAGGCACACTGGTGCTTTAGTTAGCACTTTTTTCTCAGTTTTATCTTTAACAAAAGATCTATTCCAACGCTGACACAGTCACACTGGCCTATTTCTGAGTCTGTTTACGCCCCGTGTCTTTTCCTGTTTTTTTACACTGTTCTTGGTTTTGTTGTATGTGACTTGAATGCATTACAAAGTTGTTGTATATGTATTAGCAGCTACACTGGTTGAATGTCTCACAGCAAGAAGGTTCCGGGTTCGAGTCCCGGCTCGGTTGCGGGGTCTTTCTGTGTGGAGTTTGCATGTTCTCCCCGTGCCTGTGTGGGTTCTCTCCGGGTTCTCCGGCTTCCTCCCACAGTCCAAAGACATGCAAATGGGGACTAGGTTGGATACTCCAAATTGACCGTAGGTGTGACTGTGAGAGTGAACGGTTGTTTGTCTCTGTGTGTTTGCCCTGCGATGGACTGGCGACCTGTCCAGGGTGTACCCCGCCTCTCGCCATGGGATAGGCTCCAGCCCCCCCGCGACCCTACTAGAGGATAAGCGGAAGAAAATGGATGGATGGATGGATTTAACTTAATAAAGACTAAGACCTTATACACAGACATGTTCACAGTCACCGTGTCATAATGCAAGGTCAGCAGCACTGGTTAGTGCCTGTTCGGCTCATTGCAGTGCTGACTGACCATCAGCCTCATGGATGAGTTTTACAAAGCTACAGTAGTAGGCTACAATCTGTTGCCTGTTGTTGGCCTGGTCATGCGTCATTCAGGAAACAGTCAGCCAATCAGAAGCCTCTCTTCTGATTCTGACCAGAAACTGTAAACTGAACACCTCTGTGACGTCACACACAAGTTTCTGCAGAGCGGTTTTGAAGCTCAGAGTGAACTGCTCCACTGTCGTCATCTTGGCAGTGCCTGACTACACCCCTAACTTCCAGCTAATCCAAAAATTGGGCAAAGAGTTGGGGCATCTGTGGAGCCTCGACTTCTGTGCATGCTGGTTTGTGGCAAGCATATGCTCACCCACCTATTACTCAAAGAGACCATGCCCTCAATTATGCATAACTTTAAGCCTTAATAAAATTTAAATGAGTGAGTGCCCAACACCCATAGTTTCTGTTCTGATTGGTCAGGGGAGACATCTATCTACAAGCTACAGTCATTCAGAAAAGCTGTGAATAAACATGTCATTAAGTGTTACACTCAGTTATGCTCACCGTCTTACCCTCCTGAAGTGAAATCTGTATTCTGTATAACAGTATTGTTCTTATACACTCTATGTACTTTGTGTATGACTTGAGAATTCTGTATGATATTCATATCACATATTCAGCTTCAAACATTCATTTAGGCTACAAAGTACAGTATAAAACATTTGAACAAAAACAGTGTTTGATTGCAAAAGAGCATTCATTCATTTATACATGGTTCATTCTTTAATATGATTTCTTTTTATCATTTGCCAAAAAAAAAAAAACATTATTTTTTTTTACTTCATAGCAAACACTTGTTTGGACTGAAACATTTCAGATAAGAATTTTCGTATCTCTTTGGACTGCATGCCATATATAATGGGGTTAAGGCTTCCAGGGACAATAACAAACAGAATAGCAGACAGTTTTCTGTAGTCTGAGTACTGAGGAAAACGATGTAAAGTAATGATGGTACAACCACTAAAGATCATAATCAGATACACAATCAGATGAGTGCTGCAGGTCTTCAAAGCTTTACTGTTCAGAGACTTGTTTTTACTGGTCAGACAGACGACAGTAATCTTAGTATAGGTGAGAACTATGCTGCCAATAGAAGCTGTAAACAGGACTACAGTGAAAGTGAGGCCATACACATTATTGATGAACACACTCTCACAGGAGAGTTTGAACAGGGAGGCATTGTCACAGTAAGGATTCATGATCATACTCTTGCATCGGTTCAGTCTTACGGTCAGACCGAGCAGAATCCCGACCAGAACAAAGGCCACTCCCCAGGCAGAAACTGTCAGCTTCACCAACATTTTGTTGGTCATTATGGCAGCGTAACGCAGGGGATTGCATATGGCCAAATATCTGTCAAAGGCCATAATCATGAGCACTGTGTGAGCAGTGGTACCGATCATGTGTGAGGTAAAAGCTTGGACCACACACTCGTAATAACTGATGAGGCGTTTAGAGGGAGGACGCAACATGTCCGTGAGCAAACGAGGCAGAATACGAGTGCTTCCAATTATGTCACTGACTGACAGGTTGCAATAAAGAAGATACATAGGCTGGTGAAGGTTATTGTCCATGAAAATTACAATCAACATACTTACATTTGTGACCATTATAAACAAATAGGAGAAAAAGAGGAAGAGAAAGGTCGGGTATATTGAGTCTTCTGAGACAATTAACCCCTCCAGCTGGAGAGTGAGGCTGTTGTAGGTGTAGTTTTCCATCACCCTGGAAGAATAGAGCAATGGTGTTAAAATCACACATCCTTGTAATCTCAATGTCAAACATTTTAGTTTATTTTATTAGTAACAATAAAAGCTACAGGAGTGTGTGTTCTTTACATAGGTTTTGACTTCATAAATTATGACAATTATGAAAACGGTTGCTGGCAGATCAGTAATACCACATTTAAGTGTCTCTTGTTTCGCAATCTTTCATCTTCACTTACTTTTGTCTCACCACTCACTACTGAAACCATGCACCTACACCTTTCAAGGTGTCCTCTGTAGGAAGATTTTATAGACATGATTCTATCTTAGGGGAAATCAGTTATTTCCTCAGATAATGTGTGATGCAAGATGAAGAAACCATTATGATGTTCCACTGCAAATGTTAGTTACTTCCAAGTTCTGTGACAAGAAGTCAGGTTTGATGCTCTCTTTCCCTTGCTTTCCAAACTCTAGCATACTCTCTTGAAAACATATTTTAAAGATTTATTTTTGGCCATTTTGCCTCTAATGACTGTCACAGTGGACAGATAGGTGGGATGCTGTGTCGTGAACATCATTGAATACTAGCATTGACATTGAAAGATCAATGTACCAAATGAATATTAAAATATTTTCATTCCAGACAGGTCTAACTTAAAGGCCCACCAGTATTGAGGGTGGTGCTAGTGGGACTATCATGCTTTCATGCATGGTTAACATTTTGACCAAAGAGTGGCATATTATTGTTTTATGTTGTACAATTAAATCTAACACAACAGTAATTAAATAAAACATATTACTCCATGATTTGAATATGTCTTTTTTTATTATTTTATCATTATTATTATATTTATTTGAAGAATAAAATCTTTAGAAAGTTATGTTGTTACATTCATAAAAACGTTTTGCTATCGAATTTTTCAAATGTAAATTTTCAACGCTTTGGGCAAAACAAACCAAATTCCATTTCTTATGTTAACATTGAAAACATTGAGGACGTCGTGGAGGCTCAGTGATCAGGAGGAGAAATAAAAACAAAGATAATATAAAGTATATTTTATTCTTTGATGGTAGATAGAGACGGGAGACAGGGGGAGATAAAAAGGGGAATGTAGTGTTTACATGGTATGCAGCTCAGATCACTAGACAGTGGTTATGCCCTAAAACATATATAATCTTTGAAGAAGAGGTGTTTAGGAACAGTTTAAGAAATGATCAGAAACACAGTGATTGAAAGACGTTAAAACCATCTCACTTTTTGTGAAAGACTTGTTTGGTAAAATGCTTGATGATGCTGGAACGTAGCTCTTTACTGACCAATCCATAGATAATGGGATTGATGGCTGGTGGAATGATGATAAACAGGATACTGAAGAACTTCTTTATGTCTTGGGAAGCTGAGGCAAACCTATGACTCACAATTATGATCACTGAAGCTATTTCATAGAGCACATACACAACAAGGTGCGATGCACATGTCTGAAAGGCTTTGCTGCGGACGCCGCTGTCAATGTTGCTTTGTTTTACTGAAGCCTGCAGGATTCTGAAGTAGGAAAAGGCAATGATGATGAAGATCCCTGTGCTCACAGACCAGGACATGGACAGACCTAGAAAAACATAAAAAACTTCACAATTATCCTTCCAGTTAAGTATTATGTAAACCTTCCATCTCATCCTGTCATCCATTTGCATGACTTCAGTCTCCAGTAACAGCGCAGTTTCTGTTATAGAGCTCTTATTTGAGTGATTCAACTTATAAAGCTATATTTTATTCACTAGAAGAGTGAAGCTACGCCATGCTGTGAAGTTGTTTGCATAGTGTTGCTAGTTGTTGGTCTTTTACTTGTGGAAGAAAATATAAGGAGACACTGCACTAAATGAATGAAATTACTTCTACTCACTGTCACTGGTTCAACATGTTGAAGGCCTGCTGATAATGGCTGCACATGAAGGATAATGTTCGACAAAACACTTTTACTGTATGTGTGAAACTTTATTCAAAACCAGTGTTTTTCAAACTTTTTCAGACTAAGACCTGCTTAACCACTAAAATAAAACTCAAGTAACTCCGATTATCCCCAAAAGCAATAGGACCAACTATTTCAATGCTTGCCACAATAATATTAAAAACTATTTCAATAGTTTATTATCCATTGTCCATGTTTGATAGTTAACAGGCTGGTAACTGGTGAAATTTAGCTCAATCCCAGGCCAGGTTAATGATAATATTCTTTTATGTAAATTTTAACAAATTTGCTCGTGGACCACCAGGAGTCGCTTGTGGACCACTGGTGGTCTGTGGACCAAACTTTTAGAAAGGCTGTTCTTATCCAATGCACTGACCATAGATGTTATTTATGGGTGTGGACCTGCAAGCCAGTCTCAGGATAGCCCGGTTGCTGCAGTAGACATGTTTGATGATATTGCCACACAGTGGGGTGTTCATGTGGAAGGCGAAGAGCACAGCAATACACAGCAGAGCAACAAACCAGGCTAACCCACAGCAGGAGTGCAGGCGAGCAGATGTCATGATAGCGTGATACCTGAGCGGTTCACACACAGCGATATACCTGCAGAGGGGGATAAATTTCAAAAATCATTAGTTTTCGGTTAAGGATTTATATTTACAGGATCTAAGCATCATAAACTTTTTACATCTGTTTCTCTATGAATTAAGACACACAAACACAAACTTAATTACACTTTCATGGCTGCAAAATCAACAAAGAAGAACACCTGAAGGAGGATAAAAGGATAAAATACACAATGTATAAATAAAAAGATTTAAGACTCTATATGAGCATTTGAAGTGATTTTGTTTCAACTCAAGTCTCCTCTAAAACATCTCCCTAGACACAGACTGGAAACTTGTTAGGAGAGCAACAAGGATTAAATGCAGCATGGATCCTTTCATAATATTTCAAAATACCTGTCATAGGCCATCGCACCCAGAAGAGTCTGGGTTGCGACACCATACGTGTGCACAGAGAAGGCCTGGGCGATGGCTGGGATGTGAGCGATCCTCCTTTCCCCTGTCAAAAAGTGCATCATGAGGCGAGGCAGCACCGCGGTGGCCCCCAGCAGATCACAGACTACCAGATGACAAATCATCACAAACATGGGTCTGTGTAGGTTCTTGTCTATGATAATGACACACACCACCACGCCATTCCCCATCAGCACCACCATGTAGTTAAACAGAGCCAGGAAGAACAGGAAAGAGCTGTAGCCTGGTGGTACGTGGAAGCCCTCCAGCTCAAACACAATGGGCTGTTTGAGGGGAGTTACCGTTGTTGTGTTCTCCATCCAAAGCAGTACAGTTCTGTAAAAGATAGGTAAATGACAAACCCCCAAACTTTTCAGTAACTTTTCAGGCATCAGAGATGATAATGATTTCAGATTTATAACCACACGTAACAATAAATATATACATCTGTCTTTGTAAATCTTGATTAAATGAAATAGACTACGGTGATACCTGCAGTAAAACAGGCAACTGACACTTAATGAATAGACAGTCTCAGAGCAATTTGATATTTCAATAAACACATAAAAAGAAAAGACGTAAACGTAATTTCTAGCAAGCACAATGTCCTATTCAGCTTCTCTGTGCTCTGGACAGAGCATTGATGTTGCTCCCACTTGTTGTTGAGGGTGTGTTTTGCTTTTAATGATGTTGCTTCATGTTGTGTGTGTCCATCAGTAACACAGATCACTGCCCACAGTCAGCGTTACCATTGAAACATCAACCCCACCCTAAACTGCGCTCTATGGCTCATGACTTAAGATGGCACTAAGACTGAACATTTGGCTGTGAATCCAAAATAATAAATATTGAATTCATTCCCACAGAAAACAGAGTTAAACATGGTGTGAACCATGCAGAATTCTTGTTCTCTTTTTCACGCTTTCATATTTGATAAAGCGACTTTTTGACCTGGCATCAGAGATTTTGTTTAGTAGACAGTATATCTTGCAATTAGGCCAGGAAATGCTTCATTGTTAGTGTCTTAAGCCTGAGGCCTGGGGCGCTGCACAAAACATACTTTGCCAAATAGTTAAAGTGTAAGCAGCTGAAAAGTTGTATATCTTTGTATATTATCACAATAACAGTTTACTTGGGTCAGTTATCTATAATGCTGAGCAGTTACTCATTATTGAGTATATATGTTAAAGTAATATATATAGATGGATGGATGGATGGATGGATGGATACTTTACTTATCCCCTAAGGGAAATTCATGTGTCCATTTTCTCATTGTTGATAAAAATGATAACAGTTAATAATAAATAAACAATAATAATTAAATGAGTCTTCTTCCTTTGGCTGAGTTGTAGTGTAAGGTATTAAAATTTGAAATTCAGTAATGTAATTACAATTTATAACCACACATTCCTTGTGAGACGTATTAGGCGTTGTTTCTTCGGCCGACAGTCTGATCCAGGATGTGTTAGCTTGGTGCAGGAGCTGGAGGTGGAGGGACATGACGACTTGCACTAGACCAATACTCTTTCCAGTAACTCAGAAGTCGTCATATTTGGTTGTGTCTTGTTACCCACTAGCTTGACACTGGTATGCAGCCTACATTCAGGAACCAACACACTCAATGCTTAGATACAATGCAGAATGACCTGATACCAATGTAACCTCTGATGTCGGATGTTACATACAGTATATGTGTGAACTTTTAATATTGAATGTTTGTTTCTTGTAGTTGCAGTGTGTTGAAAAGTTTATTCATTAGTGGTTAGAACAACAGAGGAGACAGGAGCCCTGCAGGGATCCAGCTCTGCTGAGATCACTCACTGTCTAGTCACATAACAAAGTTAACTTTGCAAAAGAAACTGTCACAGTAAAAACCTGATTACCCATTAAATCTGTAGATTGTTAACATATACTGTACATACTGATGACGTTCAGTGACCCTGATATGAATGAGTCACTCATTCTAATAATTTATTCATAATATCTATTATGACTAACATCTGGCGTGTGGCCAGTAGGCTGCCAGTTGATGGTCACTGCTTTACGAGCTAACTTGAGCCCATATCAGTTTGTGTGCCTAACTTGGGAGTGTTGTGGCGAGGCCTCAGAGCTCCCAGGTATCACAGTGACCAGCAGGTTAATAGAATTAAAAGCTGAAGTGAAGCACTCACTGTCTCTGAAGAGACTTCAGCCTGCATGCCGAGCTGCTGTATTTACCTTCACACTTCTCTCTGATTCCTCTGTCCGTCTTATTATCTCCACTTTCTCTGAACCTGTGAAGTGTTTGTTCCATAAAGACTTTCCACCAGATCTCAGATCCTGATGAGCCTGGCTCACAGTCAGTAGTCCAGTTCATCCCAAAGGGTGTTGGATGGGGTTGAGGTGAAACCAATCAAAATCTACCACACCAAACTGGGAAAACTGTTTCTTTATTTTAAACATTAAAACAGGTCTCACCCAAACTGTTGCCACAAAGTTAGAAGCACACTATAGCATAAAATATCATTGCATGCTGTAGCATTAAGATTTCCCTTCACTGGAACTAAGGAGTTGAGCCAAACCAAGAAAACAGCCCAGAGCAAAAGCACCTGGACAGAAGGTCCGTATGATGTGTTTTACAGAGGAAAAGTCAGAGTCATCAAAATCAAAAAGTTGTTGTGTTAAGTTTCATGGGAGTCTAGTTTATGAAGTGCTTCACATACATAAAAACAGAAAATACATGTTTTATGAAAATATGTCTTATTGTGTGTATTTTATGTGCATATAGGAAATGATGGCACTAGAGGAAAGGTCAGGGATCACCTAAATTGTTTAGATACCAGCAAATTAAAAAAGAAATCTGTAGTTGTTGGGTTTTCTTGTTGTGGACCAAAGTACAGAACATTGTAATCAGTAACCAGAGGTTCATCATGCATTGTCAGTGAAGTAAGTATTAAGTTTTTTACACAGAAACTACCATGTGAGTCTACAGGTAGGAAGCTTGCAGGTTGTAGAAGGTGGACGCATTCAAGGTTTCTGTTGGAAAGCGCAACTGGTCCTGGAGCTATGGGGGTTTTCTTTGGGGAACCATAAATACTGGTCCCAAGTGCAGGGAGCAATCACAAGAATACAGAATAAATTAGGCTACTCTTGGTTCACATTTTATGATATTTTAGTTGATATATGTGCAAAAAAAAGGAATTCATCTTTATTATGATGACAAAACCTTCTTGGACGCAGACAAGTTAGATAAAAATTTGCGTATCTCCTTAGACTGCATGCCATAAATAATGGGATTAAGCCTACCAGGAATGATTACATACAAAATAGCAGCAAATTTTCTGCTGTCTGCGTACTCTGGGAAACGATGCAGAATAATGATACACATTCCACTGAACAACGAAATCAGATACACAACCAGATGAGTGCTGCAGGTCTTCAGGGCTTTACTATTCAGAGACTTGTTCTTACTGGTCAGACAGACTACTGTGATCTTGGTATAGGTGAGAACCATGCTGCCTATAGACCCTGTGTATAGGACTGCAGTAAAAGTCAGACCATACATATTATTGATAAACACACTCTCACAGGAGAGTTTGAACAGTCCAGCATTGTCACAATAAGGGCTTCTGATCATAGTCTTGCATCGGTTCAGTCTTATGGTCAGACCGAGCAGAATCCCGACCAGAACAAAGGCCACTCCCCAGGCAGAAACTGTCAGCTTCACCAACATTTTGTTGGTCATTATGGCAGCGTAACGCAGGGGATTGCAGATGGCCACATATCTGTCAAAGGCCATAATCATGAGCACTGTGCGAGCAGTGGTACTGAACATATGTGTGGTGAAAGCTTGGATCACACACTCGTAATAACTGATGAGACGTTCAGAGGGTGGACGCAACATGTCTATGAGCAAACGAGGCAAAATGATAGAGCTTCCAAGTATATCATTGACTGCAAGGTTTGAAAAAAGTAGATACATAGGCTGGTGAAGATTTTTGTCCTTGAATACAAGAACAGCAATTCCAACATTTGCAACAATTACAAACAAGTATGAGAAAAATATAAAAAGAAACACAGGGTAGACAGAGTCCTTTGAGACATTTAACCCCTCCAGCTGGAGTGTGAAGCTGTTGTAGGTGTAGTTTTCCATCAACCAGAAAGAACAAAAATGACAGTGTTCTGTTAAAGTTAGGATACTGAGTTAGTCTTAGCAGTCTCGATATCTGTGATACCTGATGTGAAATCAGTAGTGTTCAACACAACACAAACTTTTCTGTTGGATGAGTTACAAACCATCAAAGCTGCAACAATAACATATGCAAAGTTAAACATCTTAAAATGTATTTTGAATACATTCACAAATTATAAACATAAATTTTTCATGCTAGTAATACAGTAATACCTGCTTTGTGACTTACGTCCATCAGTGTTTAGTCGTCACTACAAACAGGTGAGAGTCACCAACATCAACAAACCTCTACTACTGTTTTGTAGATGCATTTTTACATCATGGGAATCATTAAGCATTACATAAAGTGTGATGTAACACTAAGGAATTAATATGGTGACAATCACAACTGTGAATAAGCAGTATTTAACTTTCAGAACATTTAAAATTTCCACACTACTTATTGTTTTTACAGAAGTTTTTCATTTCATAGGTTATTTTTATTTTTTAAAATACATGAAAGTATTCATGAAATTACATAAAACAAAATATTTACATAAAAAGACTATTGAAATACATTTGCAAATTTATCATAACTTCACAAATAGTATTTTTTATTTAATAGATGAAACTGTTAAATTCAAGTTTAATAGTGAAAATACATTTCTAAAACTTGATATACTTAGTGTGTAAGTAACTTGATGTTTACATAATGTTACATGTCTATTTTCATTAGTGACTGGCTGCAGTAGCCATGATAATGTTAGCTGACTTGCTGTTACCCTTATTTGCTATTTGCTGCTAATTTGCTATTGCTAGCTGGCTAACTGTCAGCATTGCCGTGGACTATATCATGACAATGCAAGCATGGGGTAATGGTTGTGGCTGGATTGTCTTTTGTTGACTATTCACTTGTGCTTTTTGTTGTGTGTTTAGTGACCGCTTTCATTGTGCTCCATAACACATTGCTGACTAAGAATGTGAAGGAAGGGAGGGGGGTTGTGGCCAAATGGAGCTGTGTCTCATGAGGCATTTGTTTTGGTCTGAGATGTTGGTGGTCTAGTGCAATATCTAGTGGCAGTGACCTTTTAAAGGGTGATGCTGCTCAGACTTCCAGGTAGTCCCACCTAATTCCATAGAAACCTGCTGACCCTTTGAAATGTTGAGATC